CACGACCGCCCGGGCGGGAGGACGCCCAGCAGGGTGGCGCGGGCCGGGGCCGGGGCAGCCGCTTCCCGAAGATGCAGGATGGCAGCAGAGCCGCCGCCGTCCAGCCTCTCCTACCGCACCACGGGCTCCACCTGTCTGCACCCGCTCAGCCAGCTCCTGGGCATCCCACTGGACCAGGTAACTGCGGGCCGCCAGGCCGCGGCGCGCGCGGGCGCTGGGACCCCGGCTTCGCAGGCCATCGCGGGAATAGAGCCGGGGGAGGGTGTCACCCACCTCCGCCCCCCGCCCCCAAGGTGCATTTTACGGCGACACACTAGACAGTTTGGCTGTGCTTCTTTTCTTTTCTTTTTTGAGTTGCTGTTAGTGTTTTTCTCCTTGTGTGAGAAATATGGGTACGCCCTACGCGGCAAGTTCGACTCAACTTTTTAAAAAGTTTGCATTGCCTTGTTTCCTGTAATCTGAAGTAGTCTGATAAATGAATTCAGTGTTTCTTCCATCAGGGTAGTCAAGTCGTTATTATTTTTAATTTAGATGACCCTACTTAAAGAGTAACCCTGATTAATCTAGACCATTTTCTGCAGATTTTGAATGAGAGACCTGGGCTTTAGACTTTTGCATTGAGGCTTGTCCAAGGGTGACAGTTAACTTTGTACCACGTGTGATGTCCATCGGAGAGGGAAGAGGGACACACACAAGGACCCTTTGGTTTTCTGGGGGCCTTAATTTTATCAAACGGCTTATCCTTGGGGTTCGATCTTCTGAGTAGGGCAGGTTAGTGGGAGGAGAGGAGTCCCAGTAAAGTTATTTGGAGTGTCTAGGAATTGTCTGCTGCCATTACAATTACGAATGGCAACAACAGTAATTCCTGATAAATCTTTGTGAAGACTGAGGTTGTCTTACTCGTTTTCTCGTCTCTTTTCCTGCTGCAGGCTAGTTCTGCCTCATAGTTAGTAGTGATTCAATAAATATGTTGATTTAAATGGAATTGGGCAGGGCAGCTGGAGGAGGGTCCACTGCTTCTGACTTTTGTTTCATACCGAGTTTTTGCCAGTTTTCTTCCTCTTTCTCTTACTAGTGCTCTTCCCCCGCCCCCTTCTTTTAATAAGAGCATACCTCCTGCCCTTTCCTCTCACATTCCTTCAGCAATGAGGAAATGAGATCTGGATGTTTGCCTCATTCAGGTACTGTTTACTAAGCCACTCTTCTACCTGTGGATCTCTCTGAGGATCTGACTTGGAACTCCACCTGATAAGACCATTGCCTTCTCATCGGTTGCCAAATTCAGAAAGTCAGGAACCTGGAGGAGATACAGATGGAATTCCATTTTTGCTTTTGTAAATGACTCTAGTTTGTAGTGAAGATGAGAGAGACTCAGGGACCCAGGCAGAGGCAGACATAGCAGCAAATTCTTTAGCACTGAAACGAAATATAATTCATCTCTGCATTTCCTTTAGGGGAGTTTGTTTTATACTCGCCTTTCTACACCCTGTCAGAGTTTATTGTAATTGCATTTTCTCTTTTAAGTCGTTCTACACAGGAGTCTTTTTGTATGGGAATGAGATAGTTAAAAGACCATGGCAAGTTACTATTGGAGGTTGCTAGTATAATTAATGTCTTTTAACTGCATCCTTCCCCATCCTCAATCTCCTGGATTTCTATAAAGGTAACCCTAGTTTTAATTTATAAACAGGAGCAAAAGAACCTTAGGGATGTTTAAGAGGGGGAGGGAGGAAGGGATTTCTGGGATGAACTGAAGGAACAATGTTGGTCATGGACAGGAGGAGCTGGGGATCTTTTAGATCTTAAGTCAGTCTGAGTACTCTCCAGCAGGAGCAAGTTGGAAGGACCCTTGGTGAAGGAGACATTTATAGGGCAATGCCCCAGGTAGCTTATTCGAGGTCTAAGAAAAATCCCAAGCCATGAATAATGTGGTTTGAAGCGTAAATTGTGGCTTGAGCATTTGGAAACTTGGTGTGTTTTTCTCCTTCACATTTTTGAGGCTTTTAAGGGCTTAGCTGCTAGACCGACCTAGGTGCAATTTCTACTTTGCCAGTAAACTTTTTTGTGTGCTTGCCAGCTAGTATTCTACTCTTTCAGAGCCTCGGCATCCTCGTGTATAAACTGGAAGATGGTAAAAAGATGCACCTTTTGGAGTTGAAAAACTATATATAGATATAAAATGCCCTACATTAGGAAGGTTCTTGTATCAGACAGAGTCCTGGCAGGAAGCAAACCAACTCAATTGGTTGAAATGAATAGTTGAAGTGGGGAGCAGAGGGAGAAGCTCAGTGCTTCATCCCAACTCAAAGCCCTTCCATCTCTTGTCAGAGCCAGACAAGGATGTCTGGCCTAGGACACCTGGGTGAATTGACTTGGGGGGGGGGAAATCCTAGGGCACAGAATGGGAAAGAGCAAGTTGGAACCATATCTGGCCCAAGGATAAGAGCCCAGTCCTTGATACATGTTTGCTTCCGTCCCATTAAAGAGTGACTTTTATTTTTTATTTTTTTTATTTTTTATTTTTGAGTTGGAGTCTCACTTTGTCACCCAGACTGGAGTGCAGTGGCCGCTCCCGGCCACCACAGCCTCGACCTGCTGGGCTCTGGCGATCCTTCCGCCTCAGCCTTCCCAGTAGCTGGAACTACAGGCGCGCGCTACCACAGTCGGCTCATTTGGATTTATTGTAGAGATGAGGTCTCGCCAAGTTGCCCAGGCGGGTCTCGACCCCGCGGGCTCAGGCAATCCACTCACCTCAGTCTCCCAAAGGCGCGGGATTACAGGCTGAGCCACCGAGCCCGGCTAAAGAGTGACTTTTAAAACAGAATCTTTATCTATCTATCTATCATCTATCTATCTATCTATCTATCTATCTATCTATCTATCTATCTATCTATCTTTCTATCTATCTAAATATCATCTATCTATTGAGACAAGGTCTCTCTCTGTCACCTAGGCTGGAGTGCAGAGGTGCGATCTTGGCTTACTTTAGCTTTGACCTTCAGAGCTCAGGTGATCCTCCCGCTTCAGCTTTCCAAGGAGCTGGGACTACAGGCGTATACCACCTGCCCAGCTAATTTTTTATAAATTTTTCTTGTATAAAGAGGGTCTCACTAATTGCCCAGGCTGATCTCTAACTCCTGACCTCAAGGCGTCCTCCCGCCTTAGCCTCCTGAAGTGCTGGGATTCCAGGTGTGAGCCACTGTGCCCTGTCAAAGAGTAACTTTTTGTTGGCATGGGATATGTTCCAAATTATAAAACATATATCTCAAGTTATCCAAATTAGTATCTGCAAAACCTGAAATATCTACTGAGCATTCTACTTTGTGAGTGAAGAACTGTTTCATCAATTTTTATCTAATTCTTCCATCTATTTGTTTTAGCTTCTGGACACTCTTAAACAGGGAAGCCTGTACAATTATAACTATGCTGAGCAAAATTCTATGGTTTTTGTTTTCAGGGATTTTTCTAGTCTGGCATCCTCCTAAAGCTGTTAAATGTGAAGTCATCTTATTTGATTAGAGACAAATAGAGCATAGTAATTCAGATCCAGAGTACAGGAAATGCATGATGACTTAGGGGTCTCCACAGGTGCTTCATAGAGAAGTTTGTTGGAAATTGCATTTCTAAATAATGAGCCTCTATCCAGTGAGCAGACATGGAGCTCTGGCAGTTAGTAGTTATTATTCTTACTTAGGATAAATTAGGCAAAAACTTTTCTTTCCCATTTTTGGAGAATCGATGATTTTTTTTTTTTAATCATCTGCTCATGCCCTTTGCACTTTGTTTTGGTTGTAGAGTGTGACACCATCTGCCTTTAAACTAACCATAGCCTTCTAGGTTTGCAAGATTGACTCAACTGCCAAAATGGGTATGATAATGTTGACGTTATTAATTTGTGCGGTGTACACTTATGTTCTAGGAGATGTGAAAGCTGAAAAGGAAACTGTTTCCAGACTTCAAAGAACTTCCAATTTGGTGGTGGAGAGTTCTGGGTGCTGTGGATGTTTTTACTTAGTGGCCCCCCCAAACTTTGTAGATGTACATAAAGTATCAATTCAGTATTAAGCCAGCAACCCTTTGTCTGAGTGTCATCTTTTTCCTAATTTAGCATCAGCAGAAAAAGGGCCAAAAGAAAAATAGACCAGGAAATAAGAATCCAGGAAATGACTTTGAGATCAAAATAGTAAAGTTTAGGACTGTTAATGTAAACTTGTGTTACAGTCTAAAAGTCTGGATGAAAGAAGACCAGTTTTAAAGACCTGACACTCTGGACTCATGGTAGTATTGCAGTGATTTTGAATATTCCACTGGGGCCTGTGACCTCCAGGTTTCTTTACCTGCCTGGAGCTTTCAGTCACCTGGTTGGCTCCCTTGACCATGCTTAAAAAGCCCAATCCTCAATTCTCTTCTTATCTAAGTCTTGCCCTTTGTTAAAAACTCAGCTCACATTCCACAGTCGTTATTAAATCAATTAAATATTTATTTTAGGCTACTAGTACCAGGTACCTGGCTGCATGGTAGAAATACAAAGTTGAAAAATTATTAAGGTCCCCATTTTAGAAGAGCTTGTGTGTTAGTAGAGGGAACAAAAGACCTGTAGAAGTACATACCTGCAGACCTGTGTTATTGCTACACCAAGGTTTGTAGGTGGTACCACGGTGCAACAGAGAAGGGAAGTCCGCAGCACATGTTGGACTCCCATGTAATTTACTGTTTACATCTGAACAGTTTACATTTGATGCTTGGTAAATGTTACCTTACAGTGTTATGTGCTGGAAATAGTAGGTGCTCAATACATTTTCATCATTAACAGTATATGCCTATATTAATGTTATACATTGTCAAACTTTAAACTGTAGATCTTTGTTTTAAAAATGGACAGTAGACTGGCCTTCATTGTGGGGGAAATTCCTCTATTTCACCCTGATGCTGCCTCCAGATTGTACCCTCAGGTTTCTTATTTGAACAATCTGCTCTTCATCCAGGGACTGTTCAGTTCACCCCAGCTCAGGAGTGTGTGAGAACTCAGCAGGCTGCAGAACATAAGCCTTGGAGAGAACCGCATAATTTTTCCTTTTTTGGCCTCAGTGGTTTCTACAAAGTCAGGTCTCTCTTCTCCCCATGTAATATTCCTGCCACTGTTTGATACTGAAAATGATTGACTCATGGGAGGAAAT